AGCAAATCCTGATGGGAAACCCTTGGGTGATAAGAAAATAGCGCAGCTGTTCAGCTCGAGGTTTCACTCACAACTCAACACTGGCGATGAGAGTCCACAAGCATTAATGATCATAAACGTTCCCATGCTCGATGACCCTTGCAAAAGCTGCTCATTATCGAAATGTCACCCAGCGAAGTTTTCGAGAATCAGACCAGACTAACTCCTTTGCTTTGGCAAGTTAAGACCAGTGGTACTAGAAAACCATTCCAGGAAGACACTTCTACCCGTCTGCAGCCTACTTACAAATTCGGGAAAGTGAAAAAAGCGCCAAAAGCGTGGGGCTAGCTATCTTGTTACCAGTGATTAAAGGAAGTGTCAGGGAAGATTCATTCAACAACAGACTGAGATTCCTATTATCAATACTCTCCAGAGTTCCGGTCAGTATGAGGGTGCTATTTAGGGAACTCCTGTATGGTAATACTGCCATCTGTTATACCCCATATGGCTTTGGGAAAGGAAGGTTGTATGTCACCACCTTACCAACCACTTGGCACGACTAAACAGCTGGGCACCAAGACAAACTGGATCCGCGCATCGTCTTCCTTGACCATCAAGCAAACAATACTAGCAAACAGTTGCTGCCAACTCAGAATATGGAGTCACGTGGGGGCCGATTACGATCATCTCATAAGGTAGCAAATATCTGGATCAGAGTCAACTTCTTTTCATCAACAGCAAATGCACTATAGGGCGCCTTACCAAAGGAAGAAGCAATATCCGCCACAGCAACACCTTTCGGTTGATTGTCGGGTGACTGCTTTGGCACACACTGTTTACCGCTGACTTGTGCAAGGAGTCCCTAAACCCGGCAGTGCACTATGACACTTACACATTACCATGTGACCACTTTTCCAGTCCTGACTTTTCAGTGATGCTCAGTTTTGGTACGCATAGATTTCATACTCTTACCCTATCTAGTCACATAAACCGTACTTGTTTTACTGATTGCCAGATTCATACTAGCTTGGCACCCCATGCAGCTAGGGATAGCAAAGAAACCCAAAAACCTTCCTAGCAGCATTGGGTTTTCATTTTTACCCAGTCTACAAACCTTGAAGAGAGTCAGAGATTTCAAACGTTAGCATCAGCATGAGCTGAATGCAGGGGAGCGGAATATACCTCTGAAAAAGCCGAAGGAGCGGAACTTGCTTGAAAGAACCTAGCATCAAGACTTCGACGGCAGAGTGTAGAACCTGTCAACTTGCTACACTCACCTTAAAAGCATTTGATATTGAACGCTTGGCTCCAACGCAGTTAACTCCATACCAATCCTCTTGAATTGCTGCTCTTATCGTGAACTTGACTCAGTCTTATGCCTGTTGGTGAGATGCCTACCTCTCCAGCTGCCAGACCACTACCAACATCCTCATTCTTACTTCAACAAACCATTATAACAATTTTCCTGTTGCATGCTCTCCTCCCGATTATCTTAGATTGCCTCCCATTCATTGAGTTTTTAGCTGCAAGTAACTCATTAAAATCAGTAGCTCAGGGTTCGGTGAGATTTAGCAGTGGCTGACACACGTGGTTTCAAAGGACTTGCCAAGCTGAGGGCACATTGTCAAGCATACACGCTGTCTAGCACGTTGTCTTGATGCGTTGCGTTGCTCGTACACGCTCATTTGTCAACTAGTCGGAAAACATTTATATTTTGACACTCTCGGTCGGGGACACTATTCCACTCGGTTACTTAAATGCATTCTCTCTGGGTCTCGCACTCGTGGATACATAAAAAGCAAGAGGAACAGGTGACTGACCTTCCCAAAATATTTTCCGCATGAAGGCTCACTTTCTTGTCCTCAATAAATTTACCCAGCTCTCTACTTTCTCTGCATTTTCCTTTTCCAACACTGGATTTCCTCATTTTATCCCCCTTTCAACTTGATATCTTCCCATTCTTCTGGTCTTCTCTCAGCAACCAGTCGGGTGACCCGACATTTGGGGGACCCGTGTGCATCACAGTCCCAGGACAAATCAAACATGCCCCAACCAAATCAACCAGCATTCAACCTGCTGTCAGTTTCACCTGATCAATAACTGATGAGAGGTTGAACCCGTAGCATCGGAGTCTGCAAAAATCTTGAACCTGGAATAAAACAAGAAAGCGAGCACGATGTTAGTTGATTTAAATGTAAGGCATTTGAATCCTCTGTAGGGAAGAGTGTGTTACTATTCCGTAACGTTTGGCCAACCCCACTTAACTTAATGTGCTCTAACACCTGCTTAACCAGTACCTTACCTAACGTGTAAGTACTGATAACGAAACACAAATCAAAAGAACTGGTTTCAGGAATATATGTAAAGAAGTAATATATTTATTTAGAATGAATGTAATGGTAATGAATAGAGGAAAAGTTCATCCAACTTATCTGGCTATTATGGCTGAGCCAGGGACTTGCGTGCCTGCATGCGTGCTAACCAGCACAAAGAGTGCGCAAAATGGCATCCAAGCCTGCTGGGATGCATGCTTGTAAAAGCAAAACTTAAGACACCTAAAGCATGCGGAGGCGAGCCAGAGGTTTAGTTAGTTAATTTAATCTATATATTTAAGCTCTGGTTGTATTTTGTTGTCAGGAAGGTGCACTGCACCTTACACATCCGCCTTCTGGTTTCCATTTTCAGAATGCATTTTCTAGTGGGTTACTACCATTTACCAATTTTATTTTCTCTTTGAGTAAGTTCTTTTACTTGCGGAGTTGTTGGATCAGGTTTTTCCCTTCTTGATTAGAAAGTCTGGTAGCTGGCACCATCTGGGAATACCTCAAAAAGGAAGACACATTGCATACTGCTCAGCACGGATTTTGAATTGGTCGCTCATGTGCCACCAGCTTACTAACCGCCTGAGGCAACTGGACACTAAGCTGGGACAACAAAGAACCGGCACATGTTGTTTTTCTCAACCTAACCAAAGCATTTGACGGTGTCCCATCTACAGTCCTGCTTCACAGGATTATGTTAGCCTGTACAAGTTAACCCCTACTCTCTTGGTTCAAGGAGTACCTCGAAGGGAGGCAGTTCTGCACCAAAGTAAACAGAATAAGATCGGAGTGGAGACCATCGACGTCAGGGGTATCCCAGGGAGCAGTCCTAGGACCACTTCTGTTCCTCCTGCTTGTCAATGATCGGCCACACAAAATACCCTCATCCATCCTCCCATTCGCTGACGACATTCAAATTCGGAGGGTGGTGAACGAAGAAGCTAACTGTACAGCAAAACGAAATGACTTCTAGCAACTCGAATTCTGGTCGCCGGAAAATGGCTTTAACTTCAACCTGGAAAAATGCAAAGTAATGCACATCAGTAAATATGAAACAGGTACGACTGACTTCCACTACATGTGTAGCGCATTCGAAATCTTTCTCATTCACCTCTGAGTTTCGATTTCTAGACTACCTGACCTCTTCGTTGTCCAGCTCTACCGTTTGTCAGTTGTCTTTTATTATTAAATGTAAGTACATCCTGTGTACTTGCTGGGTCGTCGGCTCACCTTTCTTCCCTTCCTTTTTTCTTTTCCACACTCTCGTGGTCACCACCAAACTCACACTGCTGTGTGCGCCCTCTGAAATAAGGTACCTATCAACAGGCTAGACGAAAACTCATCAGCAACTGGCCGTTACATATACTGAGCAACAGTGCTATCACCAGAGTGTCCACGGAGAAACATTTAGGGCTTAACTTCTCTGACACCTTGAACACCAGCTGCAACTACAAAGATATGACAACCAGAGCGAACGCCATTTTGCACTTTCAATGTAGACAGCTTGGCACCCTCACCCCCAAACTCTTCCTCACCGTTTTCAGACGCTACGTGAGGCCGTAACTGGAGGTCTTCAGTAAGGTGGCCTCCCTAACACTCAAGAGAGACTCTAATCTCCTTGAAAAAAATACGAAGAACCACAACAAAATCAGTGGGGCTAAGTGGGAAGCTTATCCTGAAAGACTTAAACACAAAAACCTATTCACCCTGGGTTATCGTATGAAGATGGGTGACTTTATAATGGCCTACAAGACCGCTCATCAGGCGAACCATGCAAACAAATCAATTCTGCCTACAACACAGTGGTCTTCACGAGGAAACCCCAATAGGATAGCACATCAGGGAGCCAGTAAAATGCTCATGTTCAAGTTTTTCTCCCTGGAAGTATGCGCTTTGTGGAATACCTTACCGCGACATATTGTTGTACCTCCCTCAGTCGACTCATTTAAGAGACGGTTAAACAGTTATGTCACCTCGCATGGTCCACCATGGACGTACTCAGGTAGTCACCAACCTCACCAACCCGCCCCATCCTCCCTCCCACCTACCACTCACCATCTCCTCACTTAATGCACCCACATTACCTACTAATTCTTCTGTAGGAACTAAACCTACGCTATCTAGTTCTACAATCCGGGAGGTTCCCACATACTTTTCTGTCCTTTATTTCCCATCTTTACCCCCTCCTTTTTTCTTACTCTTCTTTCTTTTCCTTTTTCTCTTCCTCTATTTTCTTTTTTCTTCTTCATTCTTTACCACTGCCTCATCATTCTCTTGCAGTAACCTGCGCAGACAAGAGTCACGAGAGTCCCCTAACCTTCTCAGCAACCCGTAGTTCCCTAATCACTTTACAAATTGCAACTTACCCACAATACAACCACCTCACCGAGATTTAAAGCAAGAAAGCAGGGGAAATTTCCTCGCCTACTGCAGAAGTGAACCGTAAAACTCGGATCAAGTCCTGAGAACTAGGCGCAAGGGATCAAAAACCATCAGTTTTTTACGCTCGCACTATCAATATTGGATTCTTTGCTGCACATACCTGGGCCGTATGGATGGATTGTTGTTGTCAGAAGTAAGCTCATCCCTCCAGGTTTAGTTTGCGACAATGCATCAACAAGATGAAGAAACATCTACCAACAAGTAGTCGTTGCATGAACAAACAGGTAAGACAACTATTGAAGTTTAGAGTGGTGGCGGACATTTTGTTACGGACGCCATTTCAAGGTTAGATGTCTCTTAATTCTTTACGACCTATAATTTTTCGTGATGATGCGTCGAATAAATGTAAAACGTAGAAGAAAGACGTCCATATTGGTTATCTAAACTCCTGTGTGGTTATCACAAGGTTATTCGTCTTTATTCAAAGTCCGAAAACTAACGACTGAAACGTACCATATAATATAGATGAAACGAAGGGTGTTTGGCACCTTTGAGCAGCTCAAAAACGACCTTAAGTAGACTCTTAAGGAAACGTTTACTTTTTGCCAAGTTTTGGCGTAGAAACGAGTGTAAATAGTGACTCAGTTTTCCGTATAATGTCATTTGACAGTGTTTCGCCCACAGTCTTGCTTCACAAGATCCTATCAACTATTTAAAGTGAATTTCTACTCTTTTGGTTTGGTCAGTACCAAGAAGGTAGCTAGATCTACAGCAAGATAAGCAGAATACAGTCGGAGTGAAGACCATCCACTTCAGAGGTATCTCAAGGAACAATCCTGAGACCACTTCTGTTCCTCTTATTTGTTAGTGATCTGCCACACAAAATTTCCCCATTCATCCTCCTCTTTACTGATGACAAAATGTGGAGAGTAGAAAACAAAGAGGCTGACTGTACAGCTCTATAAAATGACCTTGAGTAACTAGAACTGTGGTCTTCGGAAAGGGGGTTGAGCTTCAATCCGAAAAAGTGAAAAGTAATGTATATCAGTACCTACGAAAGAAGGGCTGCCGATTTCCAATACATGTTGAGCAACTGTGCTTTCAACAGAGTATTCACGGGGAAAAGTTTGGGGCTCAGCCTCTCCAACACCTTGAACACCAGCTCCAACTGCAAAGACATGATATCCAAAGTGAACGCCACTTTGCACTTTGTGCGTAGACAGCTTGTCACCCCCATCCCTGAACTGTTTTCTACAGTTTCCAAATCCCACGTAGGGCCGCACCTGGAGGTTTTCAATACGGTGGTACCCTCAAAACTCAAGAGAGACTCTTCGGAAAAATACAAATATCAACAAAATGAGTTATGGGACTAAGGGGAAAGAGATATGCTGAAAAACTAAAACACCTAGACCTATTCACCATAGGCTATCACAGAAAGAAGGGTAACCTTATTGTAGCCTACAAGATCATCCAGCAAGCAAATTACGCAACAAAACTAGCCTTGTCTGCAACACTGGTCATCACGGGGAAACTTCATTGGGATAGCATATCAGAAAGTGAACACTACGCTCAGGTTCAGCTTATTCTCCTTGAAATTATGTGCTTCATGGAATACCCTACTGCGGGATGTAGTCACAGCCCCTTCGGTGGACTCATTTAAAAGACGGTTAGACAGTCCCGTCATTTTGCATAGTTTACCACAGACTTAGGGAGTTACTAACCTCACTGACTCACCATTACTTCCCTTCTACCTACCACTCACAACCTATCTTCTTGATACACCTACATTATCTACTAACTCTTTTCTAGCAACTAGACCCATGCTATTTACTTTGACCTTTCCGGTAATTCCCACATGCTTTTTCTCACTATCTTCCTATTCGCATTCAGGCGCATACACTGATAGGAGTCACGTCAGACCTCTAATCTCCCCAGCAACCCGTAGCTCCCCAATCACTCTACAAATTACAATTTACTAACCCACAAAAAATCCACCTCACCGGAGTTAAAAGTAGAAGAGATTTCATTGTCTACCGCACCATGCTCCTATAACTAAACGCCAGAGATCAAAAACTCAGTTTTCTATGTTCGCACTATCAATATTGTATGTTGTTGAAAACGTTTCTCTACGTTTCCTCACTGCTCAAATTAAAATTACGTTATTTACATATACGTAAGATGTAGATGTTAACTAATGAGACTGCGTATCAATAACGCATCCTGAACTTCTATATGAGTGTAAATACGTCTTGCAGCGGTATCTTATTACCTGTAAGTGATTCATATGAACTCCTATAGGAGGATTACTTCGTCCCATTATCTTTGCGAAAAGTTTTTTTTGGGTCTTTGGGGTTAGTCATGATAGTAATATCACGACTTCGAAGTTAAAACTTAGAGTCAAACTAATTACTAGCAGGTCATGTTTCCTGCACCGTCGTAAAAAGGAGGTCATACTCCTAGTTTTCTGCTTTACAACTTAATGGTTGCTACAAATGTACTTAAAATTAAATGGTACCTTTAGGTAGTAAAAATAGGGGATGTAGACAGGGTTTCCTTGAGGGTTGTCAAAGTGCTCCTCTTAGAATTTGTCGATTTGAATAACTTGAGTTGCACGATACATTTTGTTGCTCCTTAAAGCTTTTTCAAAATATTGGCATCGCTCTCCAAGAGTGAAGGCGTATGATGTTATGAATCTCGAGATGATGTCTCATATGTTTCATACAGTTCCAAAATAAGTTCCAGGGTCAGTGGTCATGACTACCTGCTCACAAAGTCGAACACTGCATTGGTCTTAGCTGCATATCCTGAGTATTTCACACTCGTGTTCAGCCTTTGATCAAAAAAGACCAAGGTCTTGTTCTATCAGTGTGTGCAAGAGGTGACTGCCACAACGGGAGTAGACCGTTTTTGCAACATGGTTGCGAATATACATGGTCTGAAACTTCTCTCGGTTGAAAGCTAGTTTGTTGTTCGCAGTCCACTCCTGAAGTACCCTTAGGTCACTGCAGTTTGTGAGAATCATTGTCTCAGCTTACACTTGTCTATAGTTTGACACCGTCAGCATCAAGAGGGACTGGGGAGCTTTATCTACCCAGTGTGCTATGAAGAGTAGGATTAATGAGGGCTCTAGAATAGTATCTTGTGATAACTCGACGAATGATTTTTTTCATGCAGAACACAAACCATTTACTCTTGCGCAGGATTTTCAATCCCAAGGATAATTCAGGAAAGTGGTGCGTTTCCGCTGCTCATCTGGAAGTGTTTCCGGAGGAGAATTTTGTTTGAGATGGTATCAAAGGCCATAGCAGAGCCGAGGAACAACACGTGGTAGCATGTTTCTGGTCCAAACACGTTGTCCATTTGTTCAATACTGTAAACAGGTTGCAAGCGTATGGCTATCCTCTTCCGAAGCTGTTCTTCCTAGCGGAAAATGTTTCTTTCGAGGTATCCTTTAATGTAGTTATCTATCCAGACTTCCATCATCTTGAGAGTACTAGTAAAAGCACTAGTGCTGTAAGACAGCAGAGGTTTTGTCGTTCTCACTAGTTGAAAACAGGGTTAAAATGACGTGTTTTCATTCTTTGAGAGGCGTCTGCTCATGTGACGAGCATTGGAAGTGATTATAAAGTGAACTATAGAAGACATCTGCATATCATTTGAGCACTGACTGTCTTATATAATCGCATGCCAGAGATTCAATTGAAAGAAGCTTCATTATCTTCCTAACAATCATACTGTAATTTATTTGAAACAGCCTGGTGGTCTCTGATGTTACATATCACGATGTGATGCACACAAGACTTGTCGTAGTTAGCTGGCTTGATATATAACTACCTACAAAGGGCAGAAGTAAAAGATTCGACTGTTCTCAAACTATTAAGGCTGGTATCATGGCCTTCAACGATCCATACTCGCTGGTTGGTCTATTTCCTTACTGCTATAAGTTCTCAGGTATTTTTTGCCTGAAAAGTTTTATTTACCTCCTTGATGTGACGTTGGTTCTTCAAGACTATATGTCTTATGATAAGAATGCTTCCTAGTGAACCTAAACTTGTGCTGATTTCCTTCTATTAGTCTGTAAAAGACACTCGGTACCGCGTTGTAGCCAGGAGGTCTTCTTTTTTGGGTCAGTCTTCAGCATAGGGACATTTTCAGCGATTGACTTTTTAATGATACCCTTCACCCACTCTCAGCGCTTATTGTCTGTTAGAAAATCAAGCTCCTGAATCCCTGGCGCCATCAGTAAACATTCCAGCATCGACGTGTAGTTTTCCCTACACTAAAGACTTGAAAGTTGTTCTGTGTTAGCTGTTAAATGCGACTAAAGCATGATCACTGCTGCAAATAGGAGTTTAGATGTTTACATTCTCGCTTGTTGAGAAGTAGTTCAGTTTGGAGGGTTTGCCATCTACACGCAGGTGGTATCACCAGTGGTATTTCCGTAAGCCACATCGCTTCGGATGGCGTTCAACTGATCCCAGTTGAACAGTCTTCAAAACGTTTCGTCATTGTATGAAAGTAAGGGAGACAGGATGTCAAAGTCCCTTAAGATTTGGCCTGGTCACAATTCATTTTTGGTATGATGGTGATTACTTGAAGCAGATTATTCTGTCCTATCTTGCATGTTGCGGGCCGATAAACCCTACGAACCAACTGCCTGATGATTGAGTAGCATCACATTTAGTTTGGTAACTCCATCAACTACACGTCAGTGGTGATTCCAGACATCTATTGCTTGGTGATGCACTGGATTACTCTACTGCCGACCTCACGTCTTTTTTGAACACTACCATAGGATCTATGTTTATTCCGTTAGTGCTGTAAGATGATAGACACATTTCACTCAGAATTATGAATTTTCGTGCCAAGTAGAGATAAATGGATTGCAACCCTTCCAACTCACCCGTAGCCGCCTAACATTGTTGGTGATTTTTCTTACTATATAGGGTGTCTGTAGGGTGATTAGGAGAGCCAAGTTATCTGAAATAAGTAAGACTGTCACTGCAGTCAGTTCTGATTTCAGTAGAACTGGCCTATTGTGTTTTATCGCCTTATTCTGTGCCTCAGCGTCTCTGTAGTTGTCTTCTTGTTCTGTCTAGTGCCACTGAAAGGCGACTCAAGCTTGAAACCATATTCCGGGTTCTATTCATTTTTTTCCGAAAGCTCACGGATGACTATCACGTTAGCGGATATTCTCACTAACTTTGTCCATAGCCAAGTGCTACATTTGAAGGATTTTGGTTAGAAGCTCAGGTCAGCCTCATTTTGCGGGTAGCACATGCAGCGAGATTGTCGTTATCAGATGAATGGAGCATGAAGGCCTGAAAACAATTGCTGCCTCAGATTCTTCCCGGTTTCATCTGTAACGACATCTGCTTCCATCACTGAATGTCACGAAAATATTTCTCCCATAGATCTTGAGTTCCTGTCGGATCCTGAATGGAACATTCAGACAGGCCCCCCAACGCTAGCAGAAGTCGAGAAAGCTGTACGTAACCTAAAACGAGGAAGGGTGGAAAACGTAGCTAGGTCAAAATTGGTAGATCCCAGTAAGACAAAGAATTTAGAAAAAAGCTCAATCATAGCCGTGCATGCTGTTACACACAATAGGATGGGAACGAGTGAAAATCTTTAGAACTAACATAGGATGGTGGAGGGAAAGATTAATAACTGGATCTTTGTTTATGGAATCAATACTCAACACACGCAACAGGAATGAATCAGCACCTGTTCCAGATACATGGAAAATCCTGCTACTCATATCACAAGGGGCGCGAGGAAATTAGGACTATACAAAGGATGTCTCAAAGTTATGTGGTTATCTTGATATAACTGTGGACCATTAATTATGTCTGAAACGTAATCCAGTAAACAACACTGTTACACTACGTGATAAATCTAATCAACCAATTAAAATTGAATTGCATTCTACCATAGTTTAAAAGTTTTACTCTTTTACTATCATTGGTAGTAGTTCTTGATGGATGATCTTTCGGATTACATTATGATAATGCTGTTTTCAGTGATTGGATTTTAAGCTGTAATGTGGGAGTTTCGCATGATCTGGTGGAACTAGCGAGTTTTGCCGTATTTAAGCTACTCGTAAGTGACCTTGAAGTAACCAGTCACGTTGAAGGTGACTTTAATAGTTGTGAAAAGCTTTGAATTTTGAGAAGACTCTGGATAGGGATAGGTTTATACCGAATTTTGATGATGACAATTAAAGTTGAATCGTTGGAAATCTCTGCATGGATACGAAAGGCTGCATTGCCTTTCGCCAGATTATGCCACTTATGGGATCAACCAGATATTTAGACGACTTATAATGGTCTTTTGTATTGCACAGTTGTGTTTTACTTTGTGAAATATCCAACGCAGTCTAACATGGTAGCAGTGAGCTTGTTATGCTGTTTGACTGTGAAACATGATCACTGTAGGGACAAGATTTGTGGGAGCTTTAGGCATTTGACCACTGTCGCGTTCATGAAGAAACTTACGTGTGATAAAAATACGGCACTAGTTGTATTTAATTGGTCTGAGTACTCAACTTTGTGCAGAACTACTACTCACTGGTTTGAATGCCACTCCACCTAATAGGTTCTGGTTGATCAGGTAGTATCACCAACCTTTACAGTAGGTTTGGATCATTATTTAGTGCACGAACTTGCACATGTTTGCTGAGTTAATTTGCTTCTCATTTTATTCACCACGTAATTTACTCGGAAACCTAAGTAGAAAAGGGAGGTTATTTGATTTCATGAGTCTTCGTCAACCTATGTAGGTCATGTGTTGCTCATACCAGTCTGCTGTCGTCTTCGATACACAGTGTTCGTTCTTTTGGGACTAAGATACGGTGCCAATTCTCAAATTCTGACTATTCATCCGGGCAGTGCAGGGAAGTGTTGGCTTCTTCAGTCGAAGTCTGGATTGTTACCGAAATTCGTGGTTGTACATTCAATATGATATGGCTCAAAATCAAGCATAGGGGAAAAGACACATATATTCATATCTTTTCATGTCTCATATGTCTTTATTTTATTTTTCTTTCTTTCTATTTTATATTATTGCTGTTTCTTTGACTTCCCTCTTGTTGGTTTCTATGTCGATGGGGTAAAGTGTTTCAACATGAACTGTTATGCAGTAATACCAGATCGTATGTAAGTAGTGACTCGTTGAAATTGTTGCTGACATTGACATGTGGAGTTGTACTTCCTTAGGTTGTAGTCTCAACAAATAGTTTTGGGTTTCCAGCCTCTCTCTGCTTACTGATATTTGCGCAGCCCGGTGATACCAACAGTCGTAACTAAATAGATATGGTGATTGACTAATTTGATAATTTACCCATTGTCGCTAAACTGCTACTGAAAGTATAACATGTTTACACTTTTTCTGGTGTATTCTCGAAATTCAATGTACGATTTCTTAGTCGCGTTCACAGGATCATTGATTTGGGTTTACGATTTTTGTGTAAGCCTTTAGAAAATTATCCTCCAGGTTTTCCACATGATAACAGATGCCTATTATGTTGATCTGTTCTATTTCCAGATTAATTCTTTGGTCACATCTGAGGAATAACTGGTCCCTTACACACCAACAGCTAACACTAACTGGAACTCTCAAAAATTCTGTTACATAGTGACTTCCGGGGTAAATACGATGACAGAGGCAGTGACAGAAGACGAACAATTAATTTTCGATGCAGCCTCCAGCTATAGACGAAGGGATTTCGAAAAATGCTCGTCAATTATGGAGAAACTCAAAGGCGGGAAATTAAATGATACGAAGGTGAGTTGCATGTTCATATCACAGGATGTCTGATCCGTACCTCTGTTCATAACAAACTATAGCACAGAAGCTGGTACATTGAATTGTAGGGTAATTCACATCGTAGCCGTGCTTAACAGCAAGAAGACCGTTAGTAACAACAAGAAAAAAGTCACCAAATAAACCCCTGAAACTACAATTATTGTAATAGGAAACAGTTTTCCAGACATCTGAGATCAGCAGCTGTTGATTTTATGGGTTGATGTCATTTTATTCGTCTGGCCATATAGCAGTTTACTTCTGCTGGTCAGATGCACAAAATATTTATCCCAAATACCTAAGCAATACATGTCTCCTATTTCATTGATTGGCATGCTAGTGTGAGGGCTTACGCAGGTCTACCATTCCATCTCCTTTAGATATTCTTGAATGGGGTAATTTTGAGTTCAGCAGATCAATATTAATCTGATTTTATTCTTTATGGATTTGTAAGACCTCATTAAATTGGGTTGCAGCTCATTGGTATAGTCACTTTCAATCAGTGGGTCGTGTGTTTGAACTTCACCCCACGCATCTACCGAGGTCTGGGCAGCCAGGTAGTATCATTAGCCCTAACAGCAGATGTAGTTTATTACCTATCGCACAAATGTGCGCGCAGCTTTTGAATACGTTTCGTTTCTATTCAAGTTTATGCAAATGTATTAGGGCTTGTATTGCAGCAACTTCTGACCTTAAAAATATTTCTGCCTTTCTCTGTTTAGTTTCAGTACACTCGAAGCATGGGATCATCATTATATTATCTTGTCTGTTGTTCACTAAAGACTATCCAATTACTCCTCTGTTTAGATGAATTCCTCGAAGAAAGTGGTATTGTTTGGCTGTTGGGATATATAAGCTGTTGACTTGCAGTAGGTATGATAGCATTTTAACAGCTAGTTTGATTATTTACCTACACTTTGACTAAAATTAAGTCTGATTTTCATGCATCGGTAGTTTGTACACTTTTTATAGCAAGAAAAATTCGGTAACAAACAAAAAAGCATATTACATCATGCAAAAGTGTATGAGTTAAAGTTACATCTTGTAGGGAAGAAATCAATAAAAATACAAAATATGTTGAGGAAACCCAGAGGCTTAATGATGAAGTCTATGTCCTGTTACAAGAGTGTTAGAAAAACGTCGAGTTGCAAGATGTGATAACCTGTAGACATTACGCTTTCAAATGGTATTCCAGTGTTGAGGATTCTGAATTGCAGTTACTCACGTGAATAAAAATTCACGACTGACTATTTTCATTGTAAAGCGAGTGGCCTAATTCTCCTTCGTTACTTTGAATGGAAGTGGTTTCAAGACTTGAACGGGATAAATAGGAGTTCGTTGGTTGGTAGGTGTTATTTGAGTGATCATATAGCATAAATCAAGGTATAATAGACCCATTCCATGCTTTGTTCCTCCAGAACGTTTTTAGACTAGCATGAAATCAGTGATTTTGCACAAACACTGTAGAACCGTTTCCTTTACCTGAATTGTTTTGTTTGAGAGGTTAATAATAAATTCAGTTTGTTTGTTTTCACGCGTATTGGTTGTTTCTAGTGAACTTTACATATATACAGATATTCTTATTTGGATATTACATCTTTTATCTTAACACCAGATTCATATGAACAAGGCACTACTCAATTATGTGTATAAATCAGGCTGTTTGGGAAGTGAACAGTATGTTCGTGAATTGAAGCGGATCGCAGCTGTTGAGGGAGTGAATCTCGATGATTATGATGATAAAACCTGTTCTTTAGGAAGACGCAATCCAGAACGTGCAGATGAAGTTTGCAGTTCAAAAGATGGATTGTCTAACATTGCACCTCAGTTTGTGTCAAGATCGTCAATCGCAATCAACTTGTTGTATAACTACGCTGTTGTGTCGTTTTATCAACGTCAGTATGCTCAAGCTGAAAAACTTCTTGCGAATTGCCTTGATATTCCAATAAACATGGAACCAGCAGATAACAAAACGTCCAGCGCTAAAGCGATCCCTTTAACCTTCCAATCTCCAACATATTTTGACCAACCTTCATCTAGTTTGATACAAGCAATGGATCTCACACCATCAACTGATACTGATCTTTGTCGACGCATTGTTCTTCTCTGGTTAGAAGTTTGCTTGAGGTTGTTTCAGGTCGAACGTGTCTATCAGCTTTGTGGTAAGTGGGTAGTGTGGCGTCATTTCATTTTGTTGGTTATTACCTACAGTGTCAATGCATATAGGTCAGGTACTTTGTACATTTACACTTAGATACTCTATGAAAGTTAGTGATACTATTTGACCCTCTGAACCTCAGCAGGTTGAATCTGTGAGAAACTGACTGGGGGTCGAGTGGTCGTTCCACTGACTCTTCTTATCATGTTTAAACTGGTTAGGTTGTGAATCTCACCTAATGGTAAATAGTGGGTCAGGATTTTAGTAGAGTTGATTCGTCCTGTTGAGAGGCATTTAAGGTTTTACTGAAGGAATCGTCATCCAAAATCGTAAATCGGTTATATCTAAGAACGTTGTTTACTCTTCATGGAAATTCTTACTAAATGGGATGTGTGCTGCCCACTTCGGCACTTAGCAACCCGTCTATTTGGACAAAACAAAAACAAACAAACTTGAACAACAAAATGATGTCGTTTTATTGTGCTGGTATTCATCAGCTGTATACAACCTAAAATGATTTGAATTTTTGAGTAAATAACATACTTTAAGTGTAGTAATGATGGTTAGTCGTTAGCATTGGAATCCAGGAACGGCGTATTGTTCGAGTCGTGTTGATATATATGTGTATGAATTATGGGGAATATGCTTCTTGCTAAATTGGTTTGGTTTTCATTAAGAATTTGTTTGTCTAAATACATGTATTCTGATTTATGAATATTGTTACATTTTTTCCTTCCTTAGATTACTGGCTTTTGTGTCTTAATTCAATGTCAGTAATCTCTGAAACAGTCAACATACCCACGAATACTCAAACCGATATTCTTTTGTCTCCCGAGAATGCAAATCCTCATTCACGACATCTCAATAGTAATGCTCTGGGTGTACTCATTGGAATCAAAAAACCAATACAACTCTATTACATTAGAGCTTGTCTACTGACAGGACGTCTATATGATGCAGAAAGCGAGTTAAGTGTATTTATATCAAAAGACTGTTCTGAGGTGGGAAATAATTCTCTCGAAAAGAATACTGACTATAAAGAGAATTCTACTGAAGTCGAAATATTATCAGTTAATTATGATCATTCTGAAGGAGGAGAACATTCGGAAAAATTACCACAATCAAATCCCGAAAATATTAGCAAACATTGTTCCGATATTGTATGGTCCACGGGGAATTCTGTGTATTTTCTTCAAGCTCAATTAGCTTATCTAAAGGTTTGGTGGCAGTCATGTTTATTTAGCCTTTTTTTAATTAGTATTATTGACTTTTATTAACTTAAAGATACATGCTGCAGAAATTGTAAGCTGTTCTCAAGATATGCGTGTTTTACTTTTCAGACGATTTAATCCTGAGGTACTTTCCAGTCTGTTGATCAAGTTTTCAGCGTGGCCATTTAGATTTGTGACACAACACGGTCGTTCACTGCGTTTGTATATTTACCAGCTGACTGACTAGAAAATGTGAACCTGGGTTTAGCGCTTTTTAGAACTTGTCCACAAAATATACATATAACCACGAGGAATGTTATTTTCAGTCGTAAATTCGAATGTATTTTGTTCAGTGATGAAGTTAAGGGATTTACCACCATGCGATTAAAGCTACTGTTTTCTCTTGCACCTCAAAGTTGTGGATACGCCCTGAAGATGGGTGTTGACAAGCACGAAATCTGGCGCGTGTAAGGCCTCCTGTCTACTGGTTCTTAATATAACACTCAAAAATAGTCTTCATCATATACAGATACAAGTATTGATGCGAAGTGGCTAACAGTGGAGTTCCGGACACAAATAGCCTTTTATTTATGACTCAGCCAGATGTATCTGCCTTCTAGCAGGTAACCTAAATCCGTTGCATATCATTTCAAATACCGGTATTACCAACTTGGCTACTGAGTTATGGTAGCATTTCCTTGTGCGATGGGTATAATTAGGTTTTCAAGCTTGAATTGGTTTTCACTGTGGATTAGTCTGGTGTCTGCTTACTAATAGTCCCCGATCAATTTAGTTTAAACTGATCAATGATGAAAAACTATAACCCATGATGTATACAGATATTAGTTTAAGAAATCCACTGATAGCTGTTTTATCCTGTTTCAAACTTCAAAAAATTGACTCGATCTTTGCCTTCTGTAGTTTAGACCCTCGGTTTGAGTGATAGACATGTTATTATGAAACCCCTGATTAGTAGTCATAGTTGAGCCTTTCCTACTTTTTTCCAAACTATGAAAGGTAACCGTTGTAATTCATTGATCATACCAACCAACTTGTATCATCTCTAGCACCGGTAAAGTATCAGATTACCCATTAAAAGACTAGTTCACTCTATCCTGGTATACGGCTGTGAGACATGGGTGTTGAAAATACAGGAAGTGAAGAGATTACGGGCTTTTAACCAAAGGTGTTTTCAAAGCATTGCTCATGTATGGTGGAATCACCGTGTGAGCAATGCTGAGGTTTGGCAAAGGGTACTGTGCGGTGCAGGCAAGTTAGTCGATGAGGCTATCAATCTGTACGGATTGAGATGGCTTGGACTTATGTTGTGCATGTCGAACCACCGCCCACTTAAATGTGCAGTGTTATCCGAAGTAAGAATGGGTTTGAAGAAGACTTAGGATCACCAGATCAATAAACAGCATCAGTCGATGAGGTCTGTTACTGGTGGTCTAGACTGTATGGAGAGGTTCAGACTCTCTGGTTGGGATTTTCGTGACGATACGAATCAATGTTTGAAGACTGTTTGTGAAAATCGGTTGCAATAGTGCAGATATATTCACTATTAAAGCTCATACATCTTCAGTAGCTTTGATTTCTAAATTCTTTCTCCCCCTATACACCTTTATCTATTTTGACACCAGTCTTTCTTTACCCACTTGCTGTTTGACAACTTGAACCGATCCACCTCTGTACAAGATTCTACGTTGATTTTTTGTGTCTGTTTTTTTTTTTTCTCTAACTAAATTTACGTGCATATTGTCACTTGCATTAGTTATGTCATATTTTGTGTATTCATTCTAATATTTCTTTTACAAAATCCTATCAGTAGTAATGAACCTAATCAGTTCTAAAAGCCGATTATTTTTTGACTAGAATTGTTTATCATATTCATTGGAAAATGCATTTGTTAATTGACTTGATATCTGCTGTATATTCTGTTAATACTTATACTATGGGATATATATATATATATATATATATATATATATATATATATATATATATATATATATATATATATATATATATATATATATACTAGTTACTGAAAAGATTTGATTTATTGGTCAACCAATTACGGAGTTGTTTTTGTTACATTATATAATAGTTTCATCTTGTCAATTGTATAGTGACTGATAAATCGGATAGTTTCTGTTTCTGGCTTTCTCTGCCTCTTCGTCTCTTTTCACTATGCATAAATCAATGCAGGTTATTTATTTATTTTTACAATCCGACATTGATACAAATCATTTCACAGTATGCGCCACTGATTTTGTAAGCTTTATTTCTACAGCAGGTTAATTTCTCAGCGTAAGACAAATAAGTGTATGAATATAATTTATTTGACTGTTTTAGAGAATATTTTATAAAAATCATATGGAATGATAACCCAGCCAAAATATTTTGTGATGGATTATGTCGTAATAAAATTAGTGTTTATCTATCCTTTAATATACATATTTTTTTTCGTAAGCAGTATTGAGTTTGAGTGCACTTTCAGTGGAGAAATGAATGTCGATTGACGAAAGAGAGGCGTGGTGTAAAACCATCAAAACCTGCAACAACATATGATGTGGACTGGACGAGGATTTATTTGAAAAGTTAACTTTCAGAAATCGGTTGTTTGTGATCCTAAATTAAGCGGTTAAAGGCCTATCAAGATACTTCGTATCTTGTATGTTTCGTTGTGCCATTATTATTACCATCATTATTTTGGGCGGTCATAAGGTGTAGCACGTTAAGCCGAATAAACTTTTATTTAGAGATCCTAAGTTAGTCTTTCTATTTCACTGTATGTTTGGTTACAGTTTTAATTTTGTCATACTGAAAAGTTGAATTTGTAATGTTTTAGTTTAGTACGCGATAACTGTGTTTGGATAACGTTATAGTATGCAGAAAGCTTGATAAAATCTTTAGAGGAAGCCGTATATCCCTGAGGCGTTTTACAACCAATCGTCTCACTTCTGAGCTTCGAGAGAAAGCACGTAAACCAACGTGTAAATATCAGATTGGTTGAAGGGATGGAAATCATTAAGACATTTAAATCTAGAAAGGCCTGGAAATAGCCTATATATATATATATATGTATATATATAAACCATTGTATTTTGTATACGTTTGTTGACGTTCTGTTATTGTACCGCCCTTTTCTGTTTATCAAGAAACTGGGCGACCAGCAAGCGGTGGAATCTGAAAATTATTGCACAAGGGTCCATCTGTATGTAATCGAGGTTATATCAAGTCCTCACTACGGCGTCATAACAAGTGGTGACGGGTATATAGTTAGTTAATGCATATGAAGATGCTAGATTTGTTTGTCTACTCTGTAATTCTTTACTGATCTTTTGATTAAAGAAAGGGAGTTCGCCAATGTAACATACAATGCTTTACTGAAAGTGGACATTTTCAAACACATAAAGACCAGTAGAATATTTCTAGGTTTATATTATGCAATAATCAGACTTTTACTTCGACACATTATCTTCATCATATTCATCACATCTCGTTCATTTGGTATTTTTTATAATCCCTCTGCCTGTTTTCTCTTAACTCTCTACGACTTGATTACATTTCCCTTTTACTGTCATTTCATCATACTGTGCTGATATGGGGTCTGGTAACTTCAACTGTTTCACAGTTAATGCCACATGGATCATTGTCATTCACTAACTGAATTATCACAAGTGACTCAGATATTTGATTTTCAGCCATAAATTTGCAAGTTGTGGTTCATTACACCCACTTTAGTTTCAGTTGTCTGGTAATGATGTTGACTTTTACACCGAACATTTAACTCAGATGTATTCACAAAATCGTTAGGATAGTTATCGAGTTTCATATTTGTACATTCATACATGTTATCAGGCTGACCTGAACTGAACTATTATTCTTTGCCTTCAAAATTACCATGTTATTTAGCCATAGTGACCAGGTTTTTTTTTGTGTGCATATCCTGTTTCTTTTATTCAGGGTTGTTACAATGATGCTATGAAACTGCTTTCATCCATCCCATCACCTTCATTCAACTCTGTATCAGTGAATGATTGGGAGTCTGCCATTGTAAAGAATAATCTATCTTTAATTTATTATTGTACGGGACGGTGTACTTCAAGTGTATTACATCTTCGTAGTGCTTTGAAACAAGTTGACAGAATACTTCAAACCTCTGTACAGTCAGTGGACAAGAATCTTACCTGCATCCTGAATCATCAAAACGGTTACTTTTCTGTTGCTGAGTATTCAGAGCTATTGAATAAGGTGAATAGACATAGTTATTTTTTTCTTTCTAAAAAAATACATTTTAATTACTTATTGTGTTATCTGAGTTAAAGCTTTTCAGGTATAAAATCTTTACTGCCGTTGTTAACGGCGGGAAAATCATCATCGGTGTCTACTTGAGTAAGAAGTAAGTTTTTTCTCCGGATTTTTTATAAATAATGACGTTTACTTTGGTTCAATCATCCTCGGAGCTATTTCTGCCCTGTGTACCCTCAAAACTTCCATTGACCGTTCTAATGACTTAAATGGTAGTCACTTGGCCGTGGGATTTCTTCGCAAACTGATTCGCATGTGTGTCAAACTTCTGAACATGCTCAAAAAATCAGGCAGCTGAAAATTTGAGACTGTTCACTTTTTCCTATGACACTGAAGGAGGATTGTGGTTGAGCCACATATCCAGGGTTGACCAAATGTTCAAGAATTGAACTCCTTCGTTTTATCCTGCAGTTCAACATAGGTAAATCTCCTTGTTCATTTTCTACCTCATAAGTGGATTGGATTGCACCTACTATTGAGTTTATGTATGCGTGAGGAAATTGTCGATATGTTCCGAGTTCAGCACAGTAAACGTGTCGTCCACCTATCGCCACGATATTTTAGGTGGAGGATTAAACGTTTGTAAAGCCATGTTTTCCCAATTATCCATAAATATATTTGGTAAGATTGGGGATATTGACGATCCCGTTGCTACTCTTTATGGTTGTCTATATATTTTGCGCTGAAACTTGAACACTGTGGAGGTCAGGGACAACTGGTCTCATCAGCTGATATCTTGGTTCCGTGGGTAAGTTATGAGTCAATATTTGGTTGGTTTCTGACTGCTTCCAGTATCATATTGATTGGTATTTTAGTATAAAGACTTGTTACATCGAAACTCACCAATTTTTCATACTCTTTTATATGTAGGTCATTAAGCCTTAGTTTTAACTCTTAAGAATTGACTAGTCTGAAATTTGGATGGACCCTAATCAGACACTGTCTATACTACGTACTCTGATACTTCATGTTTTGAGGTATTTTGGAAATCAACTATCAGTTAAATAGGATAACCTAGTTTATGAATCTGAACAGTACCATAAATTCTGCTAGGATTATTAGTTTTCGGCATTAGATTAAATCATTTAGACTCACCTAGAGATGGCTTTAGTCGGCGTATCAGATTGGCTGTAGATTTCCTTATTTTTGATGGTGTTTAAAAGTTTCTTGACTATTTAATCTGGTCCTGTTTGGATATGTTCGTTAATTTTGTTGAAATAATCCAATTTGTTCATAACTACTGTTGGGAGATTGATTACCGAATCTTTGTTCATCGAATCACCATCCAACGCATGCAATAGGAATGATGCAACACCTGTACCAGAGATATGGAAAATTTTACTACCAATATAAACAAATAATAAGAGGTGACAGAACTGTGAAAAGCAGATGTCAAAAGTAATGTCATTACATTGATATGACTATGAGCAATAATTTATGCTCTCAACATCATCAAGTAAATAATACTGTTTCACTGTGTGTTATGAATTAAATAAACAAATCTAATATGAAATCACCTCCTATCAGTGCTCAAGTTTTACACTTATATTAATGGATTTAAGTACGTTGAGCTGGGACTCATTGGTCTGAGGAGTAGATTCCCAACTGTCATGGGGCACGCTTTTGAGCCTCTCTCCACCTACCGAGTTCTGGGTAGAAATGTATTATCACTAGTTATCACACAATAGATGTGGTTCATTGCCTACTTCATGAACCTGTATGTGGTCGCTGAACGGATCTTGATTTGTTTTCGATTTCGGTTTCAAATCTATGCAATACCAATATGTGTTGCTTTTCAAGCTTGAAGGGTAAAGCTGTTTAAATTTTCTTAGTTCTCAATGAGTATTCAATTGATATTAGTTCATCTGTCTAACATCTCAATGTTTACCTGCTTGCATTGTAAACAAATATAAGTATTGATACCTGTGTTTACTGTGTTTTTTTTTACTGTAACTTGATTGCTGTAGATCCCTTTACATGTTTCCAGCATAATTGAACACCATGAATTAGCTTATAACTATGGAGTACAGTTATTATTTTCACAAAGACCTTCGGAAGCTTTTTCCACTCTGTCACAACTTGTTCGTATTTATCCAAGAAACCCTCGATTATGGTTTCGTCTTGCTGAATGCTGTATAAAATTACACTGGTAGGTATGTTACTGACTAGTATTTATATCAATACCATGTTAATCTTGTGTTTATTGCATTTTCATTCGCAGAACTTGTTTCTCTCAGTATTCATGTTTATGTACTAGATTGTTGGTATTATCGTGTTCTTATTTCAGGTACAGGTAATAATTAATGATAGGTAATGGCTAGCAATGGACTCTAGGTGCACGTCCCGTCCTACTTAGGACTCGTCAGCTGGATATACCTGTCCCCAGTGAGCGATTTTGTTCCCACTAAGACACGAACTAGGCTAATAATTAGCATTGTACCAGACTACCCTGTTCAAAGCGATGTAATTAAAGCTAGGTCTTCATTTTTGTCGCATTAATTACTGGGCAAACTTAGATAAATGAGCCAAACAAGCTTTCATCTTGGTTCCATATATACGTATTATCCCCCTCAATGAACCATTTCGTGTGCATATCTGGATCATGAAAAGCAAGTTCTTATTAGTGCTTCCTGAAGTATGCTTAATATTGTTTGGCTGAAGATGACTAATTAGTTCTCAGTTTCCTGTTGTGGTTATAATGTGATCATTCTTACATTATTCCAGTCTACTGTTGTCGTAAAGAAGTTTATTCATAAGTGGGTAGAAAACGATACTTCTGTTACGCTTTGATGACACTGTCAAATTACTTAGATCCTTAGCTACCTGATAAGTCATAATTTTGCTTCGTCTTCTGTTTTTGAGGTTTCTAAACAAAAGGCTGTTTTATATGTATAACTGCAAGGAAGGAAAAGTACTTGCCGATTGATTGGAAGAGGGGCTACCTTGTCAAACTTCCAAATAATGGAGACCTAAGTCTTTACAACAATTGGCGCAGAATCATCCTCCACTCATGTCCACCTCAAGCAAATTAATAAGCCACATCATCGTGGAGAGATCAAAGGATGCGCTGCATTCGAAAATACGACCAGAACACGCTGGCTGCCTGACTACCTGGATTGGCTGGCTGGATTCAGGAGGAACAAATCATGTGCAGACCAAATTGCAACACTACTCTACACATCATGATAGAAGAGAGCAAATAATGGCAGTCCACTCTACCTACACCTCAACTTCATACACTTTGAGGGGGCGTTCGGCAGCGTCGACTGAGAAAGAAGTGAGTTGGCAGGTAGATGCTTGCTTCAACACTACAGCTTTAGTGCCACAAATATTTATCAACCTCATTCAACAGCTATATGCTATATGAGGATGGTGAAACATGCCGAGTGATTGACAATGGAAGCTGGGTGATGCCTTTGAAGAAGTGAAGTGAAGTGAAGAGAGGAAGGCGCCTACTATCATCGATGATCTTCCTGATTGTGATCGACTGGACTCACTCGACTGGATCATGCAGGGAACCGTGAGGAGCTATGAGATGGTGGGCATACACTGTTTGACTGATGAAAACACCCGTGGAGAAGATTTGGATTTCGCCACTGCCGCTGCCGCCACCACCAACGACGACGAGGACGACGATGATGATGATGATGATTTATATCTGATATCTAACTCGCACTGACTAGAAGATGTACAGGCGAGAACCAACAAGATGAGAGAATAGGTACAGCATCGAAGGAAGATGGGATTTCAAGTGAATGTAGACAAGACGGAGGTGATGAAGATACCCAACTAACAACTACAACAACAGCAACAACAACAGCAACTATAGCAACAACGACAACAACAAGCACCAATCACCATGAATGGGAGAAACTCAAAGGAAGTAGTCTCTCTCACCTACCCACCTAACCACCTACTCAGGCAGCATCGTTTCAACTACAGGTGACTGCACAGATGAGGACGTGAAAGCCAGCCGTGATTGGAGAGACAGCAAGACAGGCCTTCCTGCATTAATCTGAAATCAGTGTGTGTGTGTGTGTGGAGATCTACTGCACTCACCGCAGAGCACTGCACTCAGTTCAGCTGAGCTCAGCATAAAGTGTGAAGAAGATCTGGATTTTGAACAGTAATTGAGTCAAGTAAGTCAGTGCTTCCATTTGATGGTTGAGAGACTTGGCGCATCACGAAAAGCATTTCCAACAAACTACAGACATAGATCATCAACAGGTGCCACCTACACTCACTGGATAGTGAAGATGAAGATCAGATGGATGACGAGAAGAATAAGAATAAGCAAGAAGGAAGTGTGGTTGACTGGCTGGCAACGAACTAACGAAGCAAGAACCGATCGCTGAACGAACATGCAGGAGATGAAAGTGGAGATGGATTGAATAGGGCATACAGTGAGAAGACTATTTGGAGACATCACGCGCCATGCACTCGAGTGGAACGCGCATTGGAAACGATGAGTTTGGTGTCCGAGGCGGGTGTGATACGGAGGAGGTTATGTGAGGAGGAAATGAAAGGTTGTGGTCAGTTGTGGAGCCAGGTTGAAAAGACTGCAGATAAGAGAGTGTAATGGCGACGTTCTACTGAGTTCCTGTGTTCCACTAGGAACCCAAGGGATAGATATAATAATAATAATAAATGTGTATAAGTTGGAGATATCGATCACCATTAATCTTTCTTGAAATAAGATTAACTCATTCTGCAGTTGTGGTGTATTAAATATGCTAAAGTTTTGACTCTCAAGGATATTTCTCACTCATTGGCCGCTTTGGTGCTTCATTTAAAGGTGAGGATGCTACTAGGTGATGAATTGTTGACTGAATGGTGTGGTAACAGAATGAAGAAAATTTGATATATATATTATATATATATATATATATAATATTAGTCCCTTGGGTTCCTAGTGGAACATAGGGCTTCAGTAGCACGTCTCCAGTGACCTCTGTTCTCTGAGATCTTTTGAACCTGGTTCCACGATAGCCCAGAAGCTCTCATTTCCTCCTCGCACGACCTCCTCCATGTCACCCTCGGACGTCCAACTCGTCGCTTCCCATGGAGATTCCACTCGAGGGCCTGACGCGTGATGTCCTCACTCAGAAAAATGTTGATTGGTGAAATGAATTCCTTGCGTTTTCAGAAATTTGTTCGAAATATTGAGGCAGACAGATAAAGAAATCAACATAGAACCTCACACAGAAGTGCCAAACGTCACAGTCACACGCATACAAAAGTTTATCGCAGAAGAGAGAGAGGAGGGAGCAGTTCTACAAAGATACTTTTAATCTCTTCAAATTTACTTTCAGTCATAATTTCCAACAGTCATATAGTAGGACGGAATAGACTACAAGGCAGTATACTCGTCCTTTGATAGATAGTCAGTTATCTAGCCGGCACCAGAGACGACCATAAGTCAGCAAATGGCAAACGAACCTTTGGAATCTACGCTAAGATTTTGTCAGCAACCAACCCATTTCAACTGATGCAACTTCTCAAGTAAGAGAATTGGTCAACACATTTTATCACTTCATAATCGATCTTTAAATTAACAGTCGGTGCAGACCAGTCTTGAAGCATTCATTGTCTTACATTTGACATATGCAAAAAGCATGCCAAACATACTGAGTTCTTTGCTGAAGGCTTTTGAGAAATCGCTGATGTTACATATGATACATGAGCATAGAAGATATTTGAGATCTAATTCATTATGAGTTTGTCTGTGTCATACGATAACTTCATTTCATGATGTATACTTGTGACTTCTTTTTTGATATTTAGCCCATATAATTTATCACTATGGAAAATGGAGTCAAGAAAAAGATGTGTTGTCGAAAGTGTAGGTTGTGGCCCGTTTCGTAAATTGATGCTTGCCGCTGTGAATTCTGAGGTCAGTTCAACAGTATTTTGTGTCTGTGTATCGTTTTGATTTTCTACTATTTTTAATGATTTTACCTATACTAACTAAATGAAAGATTGACTATGCAAAGTCCTATTAGTGTAAGGACAGATTCTGAAGATTGAAATCCGTTCACTAACCACATAGACTTTCGTGCAGTAGGCAATGAGCCACACTTATTATTTGAGGACTAATGACACTACCTGACTACCGAGTTCGAACCCCTTATTTACCGGCTAGATGTTAAGTGCCTAGACTAGTGAACCACAGTTCTACTATTCTCAAAACACAAGGACTAAACTATTTCAGTAAAGAACTAAGTCGTTTTATTTATGTGTTTTTAGCTTTTAATAAACGTGTACATTTTAAACCAAATTATATGTATTTTCTCTAAATGGATCTCTTAAATCCCTCATCATCTTTTCTTTTTCATAATACGTCTCGGAATGGTATCTTTAAATGTGATTTTATCGTCATTGTAAAATCGATGGAGAAGTGACGTTTATTGAAAAACAGTAGTACTTTTTGCAAGTCGAAATTCTTGTCATGAAAATGCTTTCGTAGGATTTAAATTACTTGATGACTGGGTCGAATGCTTTTATTTTCAATTTGTGCATAAAGTTATCTATAAGACTATGTGAGATAGCCGTGGTTTGGCGAATTAGTACTATTGATACGGTGTAATGATTGATAGTTTGATGAAAACCTGGATCGTGACAGGATTTGTACCAGTGGTCTCTGGGTTACCGGCCTGGTGCTGTGCTAACGGGGCTATGACACTCAGATGATAAGGTGTCCTTAGTTTTACTTCAATCACAAAGATATTTCCTGATACTTGACCCAGTGGTGACTCTGTTGCAAAATCAATCAGAAATGCAATTAATGGCTATTACTGTGTAGGGGAAGTGGTTCGAAACTTAGAAGAGTATAGTGCAAAGGCTTCACTTACGAAGTCTTATCCTCCAAGGTATGTTTGTGTGACTTGTATCAATAACAGCGACAATGTTATAAAACAGCATAACATTCGTGTGCGTATTACACCACCACACCTTACTTATGCTTTGTATATATGGTTTCGTTTGAATCACTACTCTAACCTCTGTGGTTCATCCAGTTTTGTTTTACATGATTTGATTAGAAAATAAATAAACACGTTTGTTGTAACTTTTTCTTTATCATTGGCTAGATAGATCGAAAGTTTTTTGTTTTTCAATTGAAAAGGTGTTGTTTTATATTTGTTCATTTTGGATGTTTGGTTTCAGGCTTTATTGTTTTATTCATGCTGACTGATGGTGGTGGATGACCGTTCTTAGTTGGTGGAGCGATTTGTCTGGTTAATTCTGATAACGAACGAGACTTTAACCTGCTAAATAGTAGACTAGTTCTCTGTGCTCGTTCAGGGTGCGGCTTCTACTGCTCTTTATGGAGTGGTGTGGTCGTTTTGGAGCTTTTGCTTCTAAGGTGGGACAAACCACACACTTAAGTCTCACGAAATTGAGCAATAATAAGTCTGTTATGCTCTTAGATGTCCAAGACTACATGTGCGCTACAGTGACGTTGCCGGCGAGTCTGGAAACCTGGTCTGAAAGGGTTGGGCAAACTGTTTCATCACTGTCGTGACTGGGACGGGGGCTTGCAATTATTCCCCGTGAACGAGGAATTCCTGGTAAGTGCAAGTCATAAGCTTGCGTTAATTACGTCCCCGCCCTTTGTACACATCATCCGCCGCTACTACCGAATGAATAGTTTAGTGAAGTTTTTGGATTGGTGTTGAAGTGGCTTGCCACTCGCCTAATACTGAAAAGATGACCTAATTTGACTATTTAGAAGAAGTAGAAGTTGTAACAAGGTTTCCGTACGTGAACCTGCGGAAGGATCCTTACCATATATATATATATATATATATATATATATATATATATATATATATATATATATATAAGCAAGCTGAGATGGTCAGTGTGTTTACCTATGCAAAATGTGTAGGCTGCATATCACTTCCCATGCCGATGATATATAAAAACGGTATGCTAAAACATGGCGGTAAAGTCACATCATAAGATCCTTATGAGAGGAAGCGACTCTAATATCGACTAAGATATATACTATTCTACTGACATGCTTAAAACTAGGAGATGTGACACTTTTCAGAGATTATTTATTGAGGAAGTTGCTATTTCAAGCACTAGTTCGCTTTGCCTGAGAGGCAATTTCTAGGAATATAAAGTCCAAATGTCCCTCTACTTAGGATGATCAGGATAGATGTACCAACTTTCTGTTACTCTTTTATTTTGGATCCGGTGAGATTAACTCGAAAAACAACCAGAAATCTTTAATTCATCAGGGGTTAACCATCTTTTTGTTCTCCCCCTTTTTATTACTATCTTCCCTAGTGCAACTAGTTATAGTAAGGCAAATGGTATAACAGTTGTTTAAAAATGGAGCTTGTTGATAAAAACACTGAGACTTACTGAGATGCAGGTCCACCCAGTTGATTAATCCTAAAATAGGTCAAAATGCTTATTCTGAATTTCCGCACTAAGCACTAAGCAGATTACAGTCTGTTAGTTTCCACTTTGTGTTAGCTAAACCACTTATCCTGAGATTTTCACAAAAAAGACATCTGACCATTATTGTCGCTTTATTAAAGTATTTATCTGTATATATATATGCTTACTGTCTGATTATTTACTTTTTAGGCAGTTAAATCATCAAAGGTGGATGAGTCGCTGTTATCGTCTCCAAGTCTAGAATTTGCTTCTTTGGCTTTACGTAATGCACTGTTATTACTTCCAACACCACCTGTTAAACTTATCACGGCCCAATGTCTGAACAACAATACATCTGGTTCATCCTATGTATCTTTAATCAAATGGTCAAATAAACAAGTAAGCGAGATACTGTAATATAAAATATGTATCATTGGCTAAAATATTTGTCGTTAGCTGGTTAGTAAACTAGACATTGGAAAAAGCTCGTCTAATCTGGTTGGAATAAGTAAGTTAAGCCTGTACTCAGTCGAACAGAATATAATACATGAAGAATCGATGTAGGGATTTTTCTAAGATTTCTATAAATCCTTTATCGTTCCGGACATATGTAAAGTGTGTTTATGCTATTGAAATCCCTATTATTTCACGTACTTTCGTTTTACATGCGTCACATTTCATATAAAGCGCTGATGTTCATTTTGGTTCCTTCTACTCTTGATATACTAATTACTCGTTGTGTCCCAAGATCTTCGTAATTCTGTATACATACTGTGATCTTTTACAAACACAACTTTTCAGTTTGGAACACTTTAAACTCTTTTGAATTCCAGTCTTTTGATCGCTTTCTGTGAATAACATGGATTGGATTGTGTCAACCATTGAATGTTGAATCGTTATTTTATTCTTGTTAGCTCTCGTACATTTTAAAGTTATATACACTTTATGGGAGAAAAGCGTGTTTACTACGCAATTTATTTGTACGTGGCAAGTTTTCTGAACACACTGGGATATTACCTGGCGTTTAAAGTCAATGGGGGCAAATTTAAACCGGTAGCCTCCACGTTACTGGTGCATCAATTCACAAACTGAGCTGTGAGATCCAACTGCTAGCCAAGTCTCTAGTTTTTGACAATTTACCCACCTAGGCGTTATACGCATAAGAGATGCGAAAATGCCTGTTCCTCATTGCATCAGCTACTTAACCAGATTTCATTGTATTCATAAACGTCGTAGTTCAGTTGGTAGACCATCAGGCCGGTAACCTGGAGGTCGCTGATTTGAATCCTGCGGTGGCCCAGGTGTTCATTTCACTTTCAATCATCACCCGGTATCAACGCAAGTCTGTCAAAACGTGGCTATCTCAGATAGTCAAACTGATATTCGGGTAAATTAGAGGGGGTGAACGATTGGTTGGTTACTGTCTGAAATAGTCATTGATGGGTAGATTGATATTTTATAAATACTGAGATTATGATCGCAATTTAAACGAAAATTTAAGGTAAACATCATTTAATCCAGTGACTTAGGTTTGAACAATACATCAAAACATGTTAGATAGCAAACATATAATTACCGTTAGTTTTAAAGATAGAATGTGTTTTTTTACCTGAAACATATTCTGTCATTCATGAGAATTTGAGTGACTCTAGACATCACCCTGATAACAACTTGAAATAACCAACTAGACTTTCCAGTTTTATAAAAATTTGTCTTTTCAATCGAAACAAAGAAATCCAATTGACTATTTAAATTCTTGCTATGGTGTCCTTTAAAGTCATTCAAGAATTTTGTACATGACTTTTAGATTTATCAGAAAGTCAAACATTACAAAATGGTATTTGTCAGCTGCATCAGCCAGCTTACAATAGAAGAATGTGAACAGTCCATTACTAAATTATCTAGCTATCTTTTCGGTTCAGCAAATAAAGCGCTTGAGTAAATGAATAAGGACTTCAAATTTACTCTATGTAATACAATTCGAACAAACAAGTGTTATTGTTAGCACTTATAAAGTACGTCTACTCTATAGTCTACTGAATATGAGTGTAAATGTTGTAACTGGGTTACTGTAAAACCTATTTACAATAGCCGATGTTTTGCATTTATGGTTCTGTTTACGGTCCTAATCTGTAATATGCAGTACATAAATTATGCATCTAATGAATTCCTTTCTTCATGAAACCTAAAAGTCTTAGTACTTTTTGCAGCTAGACTAGCGGTTTTTACTGGGGAAACTGAAAACCTGAACAAATATACGTTGCCATTAGGTGGATAATAATAATGATCTCTTTGTTCCAAAATGCGTGTATGATACAGTATGCAGTTTTCTGTATGGAATATTTCAACAAATTCGCTTTTTGTACAATATTTCTAAAAGAAATTATTATGTCTGCAAAGTGTTGATAATAACAGTATTGAAAACAAGCGTGAAATGGTCAGCTAGAGTTACATTAGCGTCTGTTCTCGATTCGGTAATTAACGCAAAATCAATCGAGTGTAATTTCAATGGTGACAGTTTCGTTAGCCAACACAGAAATTTACAATCCTATACAGGTACCCTAGGAATAGTAATATGGTGTATTTTTAAGCATTTACAAATCCGTTTCGAATTGGTGGAACATTTTTTCATTGTTTTGTTCTTAGCTTGAGAAATGAAACGTGAGAGAGTACATGATGCTTTTAGAAGACAATTAAAAGATTAAAGCAAACTAAGGGGGAAGAATTTGATCTAATATAGTCGGTGGAAAGTTTTTTGGTAGCTCAGGATTTAAGCAGGCCACCTTAACTTTTTTTCTGAAGTTTGTGCTTGTAAGAATTCGAAGATTGATAAGTATATGTACTGTTAACTAATTTCCTTTACAAGACTTTGAATAGCTATTACAAAAAAAAGGATGTGAACCCAGAAATAGAAAATCATGAATTACAGTTAACAAAAATAGCACTGAGAGAATATAAAGCAAAAAACAAAGAGAAAAAAAAATCTGTCAGTAACCACTTTTATATTCATGTATTAGGTAGTGAGCTACACTTGTTGTGCGAAAGTTAATTACACTACCTAACTGCTTAAATCTCCTTAAATTGGGCTGGGTTAGAATGCCTGACCTTCTGATATGAAGTCATCTGCTCAAACTAATGATCTACACGTAATATAACTACTAAATGAAATCGACAGAGTTAAAGATTTTTGAACAAAAGAATGTTCAAATAAATCATGATACAATTTTACATATGTAACTTGTTTATTCATTTTAAAAATGAATTATGTGAATTTTAAATCAATTAAGGCTAATGAATAACAGAGCAATAGACAAGCTATTCTTGCAATTAATTTTTTTCTTTTTCTTTTCATGGTTTTGAATACAGTTTTTAGAGGATAAACTCTTATTGTCTACAACAAATGGTCAAATGTCTTGTAAACCATCGAAAGAAGCATACATATAACGTCTATTTCATTGCCGTTATCCATTCGATAAGACTCAGTCAGTTGTGTAACAACTTCTCTTTCACTTTCCACTGGTAATACTGGGAGATATATTTTCTGTTGTAGTTCAAGGCTTCCGTTTATGCATTATATATGTGACTAGCTGTTCAGATACAATTCAAGTTATAAATGCACATCGATGATGAAATGTATCTTTCAAATGCAACTGATAAATGCATTCGGTTACTTCCAGTGTATTCAAAGGAAATGTCTTCTTTAAAGAACGCTGAAGTTCTTTTTGTAATAAATTTAAGTGGCTTATTTCTTTCTTCATTAGATTTGTTTATTTGATTCATAACACACAATGATACTGTATTACTGACTTGATAACGTTTTGAGCATAAATTATCATTGCTCATAATCATATCAATGTGATAACACTAATTTCGACATGTGCTTTGTATAGTTCTATCATCTCTTGTTATTGGTAGTAAAATTTTTCATATTTCTGATAAATGTGTTGTGTCATTCCTATTACATGTGTTGGATGGTGATTCGATGAACAAAGATTCAGTCATCTTTCTCTCTCTCTCTCCACTTAATTAATTATACTGGACTTGAGTGCAGTGGTTTTATCTCACCCACCCTATTGTGTGGTTGTGTGTTGATGCATGCAGTGCAATAACCGAGTGTTATTCTACATTATTGATCTTATTCAGGTTTGTCATTCTATCGGATTCGATAGAACTTGACTAGGCACTCAGTGTGAATACAATCAAGTGGTAGTAATGCTTCACGAATTCACATAACAGTCGGGCCAAACCCAATGTGATTGAAGCAAAATAAAAATCTGGTCAGCAGTCGGACCTTATAGCTCAGTTGGTAGAGCATCAGGCTGGAAACTCGGTAGTCACCAGTTCGAATCGGACTGTGGTCCAAATTTTCACTTCACCTTCAATCATCACGCAGTACAAATACTAGTCTGCCAAACCACGGCTATCTCAGATAATTAAAATGGGAACCAATCAAGCAGAATAATCTGATCTATCAAATTCTATGTGATGACTGTGAGTTCGGTCAAGTACATAGGTTAAACTAGCTGACCAGGGTCAGTTAGAATAGCGGAATATAGGAATTTAGCTAAATATAGAAGGACAAACCTGAATAAGATCAATAATGTAGAATAACACTGGGTTATTGCACTGCATGCATCAACACACAACCACACAATAGGGTGGGTGAGATAAAACCACTGCACTCAAGTCCAGTATAATTAATTAAGTGGAGAGAGAGAGAGAAAGATGACTGAATCTTTGTTCATCGAATCACCATCCAACACATGTAATAGGAATGACACAACACATTTATCAGAAATATGAAAAATTTTACTACCAATAACAAGAGATGACAGAACTATACAAAGCACATGTCGAAATTAGTGTTATCACATTGATATGATTATGAGCAATGATAATTTATGCTCAAAACGTTATCAAGTCAGTAATACAGTATCGCTGTGTGTTTTGAATCAAATAGACAAATCTAGTATGGAATTAAATTCTACTACAGTGCCCATGTTAATAGCTTATTTCTTCTAGATTTGAGGTTCACAAACAACTATCTTCTGTCAGAAGTGCGGGGCTATCTGATTTGTTTTTTCCTCATATTTTTCAAAATAAAGTTGGCTGAACATCTGTTAATACAGAAAGTGTGTATAAGTTTGGGTATTTTCTTTAGCTTCTCAGATTCTTCTCCTTGCTCTCTCATACAAAACTCTAATCAAAATAGTTAGTGGTAAAACTTATTTTCATTGTAATGTTTGATTTATAGCCTCTGAAGTGGTTTTAACAACGGAGAAATTAGTAGCAGTTTATGTCTCAAAGTATACTATGAGTAGGAGATTATACACATATTCACAATGGAGAGTTCTAAAATCATCCACAGAATACTTTCGGTTGACTAGCACTCTATTAAATATTAAGTAGGATATTAACACCTGATACCGCACTCTTATTAACTGCTCCTTCTAGGGTTTTGGCAGTCGGGGGGATACCGTTAGTGCCCATAAACGTGGTATGGTTTGTATTTTACTGTATGTACCTATGCATATCTATTGAATTATGTTGTTGTTTTTTCTATTTTCGCTCCTATAACACTCTTACTCAGTGAAAGATTGATGTCTTGTTTTACCATTTTATTATTTCTACTAGTTTATCCCAACTTATCCATCACCCACGCCATTATTTGGCATGGGATTATTACATTTCTTGTCAGGATTGCATGTGAGCACGTCTTATGTGGCGTTGTGTTTAAATCAACCTGTAGAAGTGATCCAATCTGCTAGTCAAGTATTAGATTCCATTTCACAAAGTGAGAATAATTCTGTAGTCGATTCATTTAAACATGGAACTAATCTTGGCATTATTGCTCCAAAGGTGCATAGTTATTTGTGTCGTTTGTATTACGCTGAGGCCTTAACCTACTTAGACAGGTATGTTTCCATAGAAATAAAGTATTTGCTATAAATTATAAGGGTGACAATATGAGAAAGTGGTTTATAGATCGTGACCTTTTTTATGATGAGAGTATATTTTAATATAATTCCAGAGTGTTTAGAAAATCAAAGCACGGTATTTCTGTAAGTTTCGCTATGTAAGCCAGAGGTTCTTCATCGGAGTATAGAAGCTGTGATGTACACAACGAAACGTTCAAAAATATATTATCTTGATTTTCTAAACACTCTGGAATTATATTTATCTTAGTGACCAGCTGACCAGTCCAAGTGCCATAACAACTACTGACGCGCGTTGCACAAGAGGTGGTCATCATGTCCCAGCTGCGTAGTGGATAACACTCTGGCGTTTGAAGTAATAAGTACTGGGTTCAAGCCTCAGCGGGAACAACATCACTCTGTACTGGGGTTCAGGTAGGTGCATCCAGCTGACGACTCTCAAATAGGACGAAGTGCGCGTCCTGAGTTTCTCTGCTAGTCACCAAGATCAGTATAACAATGAATATCCAGCAGTATCGACGTATCCGCATAGGGGCCCATCTGCCGACAGAGGTTGAGCAATTTGGTCCTGTATAGCAACGGGAAATTACAAGTACCATTACAACGCTGGGGTTATATTAAAATATATTCTAATAGTAATTAAGTCAGACTAGGCGCTCAACTTCTTCCAGGATATTCGTAACAACTATGGTCTGCAAGTTTATGATCATAACTGTTTTTGATATTTTTTTAATGGTTCTCTCAATTTATGAGCCGTAATAAATATGTAGATAAATGACTGTCACAACTCAAATTCAACTAGTATGACTTTTAAAATTTCGTTCTTCTTGGAGTCTAAGTTGTAGACAAACAGACAAGGTTAAAGTGCAGGACCAGGCATTGCTGCGTAACGGCCCAAGTCACCACACCTCACCAAGCCAGAGTACATCAAGATCAAAGATAAGAAAATAGAGAAAACAGTAATAAGGCGTAGAAAGTCGTCATAAGATAATGAGGAGGAATATAAAAAACTACTGAGTTCAGTAGGAGGATGGCTGAAAGAGCATAATATGTGAATACATCTTGTCTGTCGATATCGATTCTGAGCTATATTACCTAGAGAGTCTCCAACCACTGGTTTCTGTTGTCATGTGGACGCCAATTGACAAGCTTACACACACACACACACATACCCCTATGTGGCTCAGACTAACAGTCACAGACTTCATACAATGATACCATGTTTTAGTCTCACCGTCCCTAGCTTTTTTCTTGCCTAAACCTACATCAGCTGATATTGTGCGGTAAGGCAGATGGTGACTAGGTATGCCTAACACATGTGCTAACCACCTGAGCTGATGAAGTGTCCCAACTGCATCAACTCACTTTCCTCTCCTCAAAAAACTCTAACTTCTGCGTTACTGACGCGGTGATATGATGAAACACTGTCTGTGCCACGAGGGCAATGACAATCGAACGTCTGAAGCTTTCTCATTTTCCCTACTTTTAATGGATGGGTGCCAAAACTCAAGTACCTCATTCTTTAATGTGTTTTACAGAATGATTCTTTTTGTGTTAACTGTTGTGTTTTACAAATGCTAAGATAAAATAAAATTGTCTTTTCTTTTTTTTATACAGAATTGATGAAGCCTCATCTTTACTTCAGATATCTACAGATAATGATCTAAATTCTATCACACGATGTTTAAATGGCGTTTGTTTTGAGATACCTTTTCTTTTTCCTAACGTTGATGACAATCAAAATTCACTCTCATCCTCACATACAAATGAATCAGTGACTATGTGTAACCAGTTGAACCGGTCAGTTCCTGTGAATACACGTTACAGACAGCCACTTATCAGGCCGGTTGATTTTCCTACTAATGTTTTACAGGTCAGTATATTAGTGTTTTCGATCTTTTTGTGTCATATTTTGGCATGATTTTATTTCGCAACTGTTCCAAGCTGTCTCTTGTTACTTTCCTCGTCGAGGTAAGGTTGGCATTATCGATAACTGAATGAAGTTGAAAATTAATACAAGCTACTGGTAAATAATTTCATTGACTCTATCCAACATACATAGTTTTCTTTTCAGATATACATGACAATGATAGAAATAAATCCTAGCACAATGTGATTGTTTGCTAAATTGCCAAACAATTTGTAATATTTAACATTCTTTATATTCGTCAGTGATTATTATACTGGGATAAAAGCGTTTGTTATCATAAACTTAGACCGTTAACAAGAGGTGCACAACCGAAAGAAATTAAAGGTGAAGTAGTATCATCGAGAGACTTGAAGGGAGATTAGAAGGTGAGGATGTAGAAGGTTAATAGTGATCTGAGGGAACTTGAGTGTTCACACAGTTATGAGCGTGTTTAGTACTTCTTAACTGTTTGCACCGTGGAAGGCTATTTCTCTTTGAAATACTTGGGAAGGAAAAGTTGTTACGTGATCGCAGATCTTCATGGTTTTTATGGATGACCTGGCACTTGACTCTAGCTGTATTTCTTGACTTGATGATGGCATTCGGCTGCGTCGATCGAAAGGTAACACTGAAGTATCTATCACTGTAAACTATATGTATGGGTTAATGCAGTCACTGGAAGATGATAGCTTTAAAGGCGTGTAAAATCCAGATGAGATGTATATCAGTTTAGTTTGGCTTTCGGTTATGGTTTCGAAGGCTTATATATATATATATATATATATATATATATATATATATATATATATATATATATATATATATATATATATATATATATTCCAGAACGAATATAATACGCACGCTTAGCTAACTGCAACCCCGGGACGAATAGAGAAAAGACCGAAGCAGGCAGATGAGAGTGTATTATTCTGAGAATATAAGGTGATAATGAATCAACCCAAAACACGTGGATAAGTATACACATGACAAATGACCTTGTCCGCAATTTGAGACATTCGCATAGTAAGAGTAAAAGTTAACCAATCAGCGAATTACATTACAATGAGGGCAGAAAATAGGCTATTAGTCATGCCGTAAAAATCGTATAGGCATGACACGTTAAAATGTTCAGATCAATAACAATGTTTTGTGCAAAGCTGGGGCATCACAACGCTTTTTTCCTTGGCAAAAAAAGGGAAAATAAGCTATTTTGGGAATTATAATTTAAAAAGACTTTTCAGTACTGATCAATGATTTTTATGGAATAGTAAAATAGGAAGTGGAAGTAACTGAGTTAATATAAATGTTCCTAGGCTTCTTTCTTGTTGTTTTAGAAAACTAATAGATTGTAGACTACCCGACGGGGGGTTCCCAAGACGATGAGAATCAGTGATTGAGAATTCTTGGTGAAATGGTTGAAAATCGGTCACAGTAGAGCAGATCTATTCATTCTCCGACTGACTTCTTGTAAGGCTTGAATATTTGCGCTAACCTTTATCTTCAAAATGTATATTTTGATATCACTACCTTTCTATCCCTTTGTCCCTTGTGCACCACTGTAAACTGTGGCAACTTGAACGGATACGTTTGTGTTCGAGGTTGTACGTTGATTTTACTTGCCTGTCTGTCTATCTGTCACGAACAGGTTGTATTTTCAAGATGTATGTCTTTTTACCCTTTTTTCAGTAATAGTCATGTATCAGGGTTCGAACAGAATCTCTGTGCCCTCTTCTTCAATAAGCCTATTTAACATATCGTTTTCGTAAAGGATACTTTCTTCTTGAAATAAAACAGCTGTATCTTATTGTGTGTTTATCAGTAGGAAGTCTTTAGCTAAGATCTCGCCTGTTAACATTTATTGGCACTTGTGATTCCCTGTTGTTTTTACCAGATCGAATTGATCTATCTCTCTTGGTATATGGGCTCCTATGCAGATGCCTCAGTATTACCTGAAGATTTATTATGACGTAATTTGCTTGGTGGTAGATAGTAGTGTCAATTCAAACCCGTTGAATAAGAGGTGGTTCTCATGCCTCAGTGGAGCTGTTGCTCATTGGTTTAGGGAGGTAACTTTCAACCAACAGGTGGTGGGTTCGAGCCCCGCCCCACCTACCTACCTTTTGGGCAGCCAGGTCTTATCATTAACCCTTACACAATAGGTTTGGCTGATTGTCTACTGCACGGATGTACAGAAGGCTGATGAGTGCATTTCAATTTTCAACTTCTCGTTCCCCATTGTCCTAGTGGATAGCGCTTTGACGTTTGAAGCAATGGGTATTGGGTTCAGATCTCACTTGGAACACCACTACTCACTGAGGTGCAGGTACATCCAGTTGACGAGTCCTTAACAGGATGAAACACTTCCCGTATTCTACTTCTCACCAAGCAAAGGAAATAACATTATAATCTAGCATATGTTGGTACCGACCAACTCTTGACCGTGACTTTATGATCAGGTTTGTATATCTCAATGACCCATTAAGCTATTCTAGTTGAAACGATTGTTAATTTCGGTTCTACGATGGAGGCAAGATCTGTTGGATAGTGTTGTTGCTACAGACAGCTACCTTTCATACTAGAGATAGCTTATGCTTTGAAGAGAGTGTGAGGGTAAAGTCTCACAGTTAGTTCTACTGGATTTGACAATAGTAAGATGTTTCCCACAAATAAACAGCATTTCATATTGATTCTGCCTTCGCTATGGAAAGAAAAATGTTGACCGTAAAAATAGTACACTACCAGCCTGTCATGTTATCTTTCAGTATCAGAGGTATGTGCTTTTCCTGTATGTGTGTAACACAATCGAATCTCAGTCCAAAACTTTCGAAAAGACAGTGTATCGGGTCTCAAGCATATTTTTTCGGGTTCTGCGGTTAAAAGCATAGATTTTTAAGATCATTCTTATTAGTCTGTTTTTTCTTTAAGATCACCGGAAAAAAAGCAGCCTTCCACTGCCAAACCAGCCCGACAGGATCGACCACTGTCACACCTGCGTCAGCGCTCAAGTTTCTTTCCATTTCTATCAACCTTCTCAGTGTTGCCTTCTAACCTCTTTTCATATTTGTTTGTTAATAATCCTACTTCATTTTTATTCTCTTCCTTTTCTGCAACTCTTTATAAGGAATCCAGTTTTATGAATAGCATTCTTGGTCTCCTGAAGCGGCGATCCAAAATATATTTTGCCACACTTAGTATCCGCACTCTTCGTCAAATTGAAAAACAGGCTTTGCTAACTTAAACAATGACACCACAGGTCTTGGACTTGTTTGTTTGTTGTAGCACGTGGTTTCAGAGGAATCCCAACCGAACGAACAAATGACGGCGACTGCTTGCTACGACTGTGCTCAGATAACGATTTATCCCGATCAGGACGTACTTCAAACATGAAAATACATTGTCTGTTTGATATGACGCTCACCAACCTAGACTCAGCAGTAGACATAACACAGATAGACTATATTGCTATCACTTATTGCCGGAGACGGTCGACGGAAAATTGCCGCTGCTTCTGGAGCATGTGATAGAATAAGGATCGCGCATTGTTTCGACTACGCCGGAGTTTGTGCCTAAATAAATGTATGAAAACACGACTGTGAGACCATTTTAAGTCCAATAATGAGGGCGCTAAGGCTGCATTCCACGAGGACTAAGTTCACCAAGAAGTCTGATGTCATCTCCATTCTGGCTGTAAAAACAGCCGTAAAGATCGCAACCGACATCCTGAGGTTAGTTTAAAAATGGTCAGTAGATCTCAGCAACTTTTTCTGAAATAATTAATGCACGTGAAAGCATTCCTGCAGACTACGAGGATAATGAGCAGCGACAGTAACTCAAATGTAGGTTGGGAAGAAGTATGCGCAACGAGTGAAACCAGTGGTCGGTATCGGCGGCGATAGGTAACCACATATAGTTATTTGGACTTATCAAAGAAACTGGGACGAAATAGATACCACAGATGGATCTGCGATTCACTAGCAGAGCAGACGTCTGAAAAGTTGGGTAGGCGACTTCGAGGAACAGTTCAAATGACCTCCAGCTACTATTTGTTACTCGTTATCCAGTCGGGTCCTGAATAAGCATCGAGATAGGACCATCAGCACTTACAGAAGTCGGGAAAGCTGTATGTAAACTAAAACGAGAAAGAGCAGCAGAGCCGAAAAGACTGGTACCAGAGTTATTTAAGGACGGTGGTTGGAGGTTACTGGTCAAACTAACTAAGATGGTAACCAGTGTATGGGGGTCGAATATAATTCCTAATGAGTGGTTTCAATCACTGACTGTCCCGGTCATCTATACGTATGAGGAAATCTCTTATTGCACAAAAGAGGATTCGTTGTGTATGACTGTCGGTTCTGTTATCACTAGACGCCTAAATGAAGCTTGGGAGTGGCATGCATGGGAAAAGTGGGCAACCTTTAGAACTGGTGGTGTGTCTGTACATTGAATCTTCACCCTCATCAGATGTTGGAAGACAGGCATATTTACTGGCACCCCACAATATCTGTTTTTATTGATCCGATGGTGGCATTCGATTCCGTCGATCGAAAGGTAATATAACAGTATTTGTCGCTAAGAAGGATGCCCATTAATTGCTATCAAATTACTGAAGGCTGTGTATTAGAACACCTGTGGGCGTATCAAAGCCTGCAGTCAGCAATTAGTTGAGCTTTTGTATTGGGTGTTATCCGTCACACATATATATACTGTCTTCATTTCTATTCGGCATTATTATTATTTGTCACTTTGGTTCCTCGTGGAACATAGGGACTCAGTAGCACGTCGCCATTACACTCTCTTATCTGCAGTCTTTTCAACCTGGCTCCACAACTGACCACAACCTTTCATTTCCTCCTCACATAACCTCCTCCATATCACCCCCACCTCGGACACCAAACTCATCGTTTCCCATCTCGGTTCCACTCGACGGCCTGGTCTGGTGCGTGATATCCCAATCGACCTTC